TTTGAATTACACTGAATGTCTAGGTGTTTTGCATGCAAACTGAAAAGTAGCGCGTGGTCAAACATCACTGATTAAAGCTGTAACGTGCTTTGTGCATCATGATCAGAAAGCAGGCTTTGTGAGAGCCACCTCCTTTTAAAAAAATAACAAAATAAATAAATGTGGTTAATTTCCCAGTCCTCTCCATGTAAAGTAATAAAGTTCTTCAGAACAGTTACCTGTATTTCTGTATTTTCTCCACATTTATTTCTGTAATTGGGACAGTTAGATCAGTATTGTGAAGCCGTATCTATAGGTTTGATCTGAAGTCTGCGCAAACACTCCACTGATTTCATTGGCTTTTAGTTTAAACTCTGCAGGAGTTTAAAAGTTTAAAAGATTTTTTAGCTTAACCAGCACACATTCCATTAAACCAATATAAGTGTGTCCATTCAGCCATTGCACTGGCCTTATTAAATAAGATTTTAAATTAAACCAAATAAACTGCCTAACTCTATAGTTAAAAACCAGCTCTCATGCACAAATATGACTGCTCTATTAGGCTGTGGCCATATGGTTGGATCTGTGAGTGAAGACCTCTGCTCCTATGTAGAGCCCTACGCTAAAAGCTGATTACAGGACACTGAACTGTAGCACGCAAAAATAATGTTGGAATATCATGCTTACTGTGAGCCCAGGTTTCTATATATGAAATACTTGGAACACTATTGTAGAATGATGTTAACACAAACACCTCATGTAACATTATTTTATAACAAGAACTACCCTAAAACAAAAGCAGGAGCTAGAGTGAACAACTGACTTTGCAAGTGCTGAATCCTACTTAAAATATTGAATGTCATATGAGCAATCTTTTTTAAAATCCTTCTTAAATAAATCATCAGTCCTTGGGTCAGCAGGCAAAAAATGATGGTTAAAAATGTGTCTCCTCTATTTTGCAGCTGTTTCTCCACCTTCATAGTTCATTTGCTCTTCTCCTTTGACTGACCTGTCATGCCTTTTTTTTTCCTTGTTACAACGATATCCCTGAAACTGAATGCTTCAACCCCCTATCTCATAGTTTAAATATTCTGCTGCAGCTCACTCTGAAACCTGAGTGGGATGGCCAGGCACCATGAAAACAGCTGGGTAGTGTAAGAATTCCAATGGAAAGGAGATGAAAGGGTGCTGCTAAATTGCTGTCCTTTATTTCAGCTTTCTTTGTGAATCATGAGCTCCTTGGATGAAAGGATTGGACTAATACCAATATTTAATAAATAATAATATGAATATCACTTACCCAGGGTTTTTTTCCAACTGTGCTAAAGAACTTTTGCTGGAATCTACTGAATTGTTACTAATGAAGGCTCCTGCAAACACTAATCTGCCTTGTGCTTCTGAGAATGTCCTTGAAGTCAGTGTTTATACAGAAAAACACAAAAGTATGTGTTTGTGGGATTGGCACCAAAAATCCAAGTTTTGCTTTTGGGATGCTCACATGTGTTATAGGATATCATTGGGAGCTGTTTATACATGCACATAACTGTGGGCTAAATTGGGCTCTAAGGATTTTATATGGCATTTCTCCCTGGCTACCAGAGAGGCACATGGGGCTGTCTCTGTGGCACTGTGGTTATCGTTAAAGACTGGTTAGGTGGAGGGGCCTGACAGCTGTAATGCTGGACAATATTCTGCTGTGATCTTCATTTGCTCTGAGTGGTAATTTCCTCTTCGCTACTTGCCTTTCATTTCCTTCTGTAGCATAGGTGACAGCCTAAGTACTGGAGCACAACCCAATGCTGCTGCTGCAGTGGGAGGGCACAACTCTGCACCACTGTCTTTGCTGGTGCTGCCAGGCAGTGGCTCCAGCCAGGCTGCAGCCCCATGTCTGCACCTCTCCCCACTGTCAGCACAGAAATCTGGGGGGGCATGTGCCCCCCCAAGTGTCACTGGTGTTCTGTAGTCACCCTTATTCTTTGTCTTTCTTAGTACTGAATGCACTATACATAACAACCTGCTCTAATATCTAAGGTTTTCAAAAGGTGCAAGTGATTTTGTATGCCTTGAGTTCTGGGTGCTCAACCTGAGAGGCCTGATTCTTCACAGGGTGGTTGATCTGATCAGCTCCTTCTGCAGTACTGAGAACTTGCTTAGGAGTTAAGAAACTACTTAATGCCCCTTTTAAGCCTCACAATAAGGGCTTACATGGTACATAAGCTGTTCAAGCATCAGCTGAAGTGCGTTCATTTCTGGACACAACAGTTTAAGAAAGGTGTGGAGAAGCTGGGGACGTTCTAGATATGAAATGAAAGATAAAAAGGTTGGAACGCCAGCTGTATGAGGACAGGTTGAAGGCACAATATTTATTAAGTTTGGAGAGCAGAGGATTAAGGGGGCAGAGTTTTCAAATATTTGTAAAGCTGCCATGAAGAAGAGGGAAAAATAGTGTTCTCCCTTACCACTGAGGGCAGAAAAAGAGGCAATGTCTAAACAACAGCAAAACAGATTTAGTTTCAACCTCCAGAGAAACTTCCTAAGTAAGACCAGTACAATAATAGAACAAGCTGCCTGAAAAAGTCAGAGAATCTCCTTCATTGGGTGCTTTCAAGAATAGGCATCTGCCTAGGATGGTTTAGGAACAGTGAGTTCTACATCTCTATAGGAAGTTGTACTAGGTGACCCTCAATCTACCTTCCAACTCTAGGGCACTATGATTCCTCATCTAGGATGCACAAAAGGAATAAATGAATCCCAGTTCAATAAAAGCATGAAACAGTTTGTCCTATTGTCCTCACAATAACATGATGAAATCATAAAAGAAGTAGGAAATCAGTTCAGGAAGCAGATACCATCTTGTACAAACATTTTCAGCATGGTCTTGGTCAGTGTGTGACTCTCCAAATGTGGTCGTTCAGTCGGGCTGGCTAGATTTACAGAGGTTTTTTTAACTTGTTTTTTGAAAAGTGCTGTAGGAAAATATTGCCCCCTCTCCTTTACTAGGACAAAAGCAAAGGGAAGGGGGAATCGTGCCTCTGAGTTGCAGCTTTTTCTTGGTCCAATATAGTTATACCCTATTATTTCATACAAGTATAACAGCTCATTTTAGCCCTGAGGGCCCAAATCTGCCACCCTAACCCACTTTTTGTCATACCATCCTACAGCATCTCAGCAGCACCACTGAGATCAGACTGCGGAGCTACTTTTACAGTTACTTGTTATTCAAAGTAAGGATCAGGCCTCAGGTGTGTTGTGATCCACCTCATGTCAAACCAGTTTCATCTGTTGGGTTCTTCATGGATTGGTAATTGCTGTCTTGCCTTTTGCAATATGGCTCTGAAGCTTGGGGGGCGTTTCTCAGGCCAGGGGGAAGGTGTAGCCCCTTACCTAGCTGTGGGGTGTGTACAGAAGTTGCTTTTTTGCCATTAAAGTGCTTTATTGCCATGACTTAACAGAAGTACACAGCACTTTAAAAATGGGTATAGCACTTTTAAATTAATCCTTATTAAATGAGGTATTACATTTGAAGTGCTGTATTTTATAGCACTCTAGCAGCCGACAGCACTTCAGATAACTTCTATATTCTGGTCATATTTCTGGCCAGTGCAGAAGCCCCAGGGGGCTGTAGAGCACCCCCTGCCTCCTAGCTTGGGAAGTGCAGGGAGGCTCACAACCCACCTCCACCCCCTGTCCCCTCACTCCCTCCCACCAAACACTGCACTTCTGTCATGTTTAATAGCACTGTAACTTTATAGTGCTATTAAAAGTGCTCTAAATTGCAGCACTGTACAACGTGTACTGAGCACTTCTGTACACACCCTGCATTCCTTTGCCAGCTGTGCATCTCCACGGAAGGTAGTGTAGACTTCACAAATGAGAAACGATGCTATGAAGAGTTTTGCTGATTTGAATTCTGACCTGGATCGCATGCGGCTTCCATTGCTGGTTTTATGAGGTCAGCTGCAGCTGTGTGTGGCTCCAAGCTTTGGACTTTACTCTGTTAAGCTCTAGCTGGCAAACTATTTTATTAAAAAACTTGATTCTTCTTTCTGCCTTGCCGTTGTCTGACTAAACAAGAAAGTTTCCTCCTTTGCTCCTCCTTTCTGGGTGTTTATATACTTTGGCAAGTTAACCTCATGAAAAATGTGTCTGAAGTCCACTTAATTCCATATCACAGTGGTCAGATTTTGTTCTCACTGTCAACCACACAGGTTGCTCTAATTCACATTCACTTTGTGATCTGAGACTAAAGAGAAGCAGAATCTATTTTACTGTGCTAAGAAAAGCCAGGGTGGTTGAAATCACTTAAAATTCTTTCTTTAGATTTACGTGAAGGCATGGAGTGTATTGTCACTACTTTCTTAATGGCAAGAAGACTGTTGCTGATCATCTTCATATCTTCCTGTAATCTTTCTTGATAGCCTTAGGCATTTGGGTTATGGGGGTTAATTTTTGAACTGACATCTATTGACAAATCTAAATATAGTATATTGAGTTAATCAGATTTCCAAGTTATATTAGCAACTTGTATCTATCCACACTCATTCTTTATGTCCATTTATTTCCTAACTTCTGTATTGTGTCAGGTATGGAATAGCCTGGCATAATACAGACTCATATCCAGTAGAAACTGAACAAAAGCTAGCAATTCAGTCCACAAAGGTCAGTAGGCAGGCACCCATCAAGAAACTGCCAATTTATAACTGTAGGACTAACTTGGGATGAAGTTGACCCAGCAGACTAGAGGTGAAGTTTCTAATGGGTCCTTAGTTCATGCTGCACCACACATCATAAAAATTGACTCGGCTGCCATGATTGTGTTCATTAAAGCCTGATCCATGGCTTGTAGAAATACTTTTATTGACTTCAGTACTCCAAAGAGAGATCTAAGAGGCAGTGGGTGTTTTGTTAGGCTTTTCCATGTTTCCCTGTTAGTATATTCTTTTTTATTATCAATGTTGTTTACTAAGCAAGCTGTTTTGTGTTTTCTGAAGCATGAACAACGGGGCCTTTTTGTTTTCCAGATGGAATTCATTGGTGTAAGCCAGCTGTCATTCATCCATGACCTAGGGCCAAAGGGAATGTAAGTTCAAAATCTTTTTGAGTTGCATTTCATTAAGAGCATCTTTTCATAGAGATGCAGTCTGAAATGATAGTTTCATGCCTTTCTAGCAGATAATTGGAGTAACCTCTATACTTGATGTTAAACATGTATTACTGTTCACCAAGAAATGTCACATCTTTTGGAAATATAAAAGAATGCAAAAGGCAGAGCACCTTATATTGCAAAACTGTCAAAGCCAGTTTCAGACCTTTGCTGACTTCAATTGTGTTTATACCAGTGGTTCTCAACCTTCTTAGACTCAAGGTGCCCCTTGGCAAACACTAACTCATAGTGTTCACTTGATTTTTGACTACAGAAAAATAATAGAAGTTTTCCTGGCACAAAGTACTCAGACCACAACAGGTCAGAATGTTTTTAATATTATGGATTCCTATTTGAAATCTCTGGATTTATCTTGTGAATCATGTTTGCACACCTAACAGTGCTAACATGGCATGCACCCTGAGGTACCCTTGAACGGATCTCAAAGCACCCAAGCAGGGTCGTCCCTAGGGGGGGCAAATGGGGGCGACTGCCCTGGGCCCTGTGCTTTGTGGGACCCCGCTGCAGCCGCTGCCAGCTCTGCACTGCAGCCACTTGCCACTTCCCCTCCCCTCGCTTCATGATCCGGCTGCTCGCCACCCCCTGGCCCCACACAGGCTAATATGCCCCGGGCCCTGCACACCCCTGGGACAGCTCTGCACCCAAGGCCGACACAGAATGCTGGTTGAGAATCACTGGTTTACACTTAGGATAAATGTGGTCCATTGCATACAGTCAAGAACAGGTACAGTCCCTGTAAGTATTTATGACACTTTCACATACAATATCAAGTCACTAATTCTTCACCATCCTTATATTTGTTTCAGAGAAGGCATGATCATGAAAAGATCTGGGGGCCACAGAATACCTGGTCTCAACTGCTGTGGTCAAGGAAGCGTCTGCTATCGCTGGTCCAAAAGGTATTCTTGTGGAGAGCGTTTTCTCTTTTAGGGTAAATTCAGAAATGACACCTTTTCCCACAAGCAAGGCTTTAAGTTGTTCTTCCTCCTGTAACTGAGATTTCCAGCCTTTTACAAAAATATGAAAACCAAAGGCATCTGTAAATTCCCAAATATTCAGGTTGGAAGAGGTTATCAATGTGCCCTTCCCCCAGTCAGTAACTCCCTTTTGGCTGAACTTTTTGCTGCAGTACGAGTTCTGCTTGCTAAAAATGCTATCTCGTCTTTTGCTTTAAATTCGTATGGCATTTCTACCATGTATGAAAAAAATTCCCTTTTCCTGTTGAGAGTTTCCGACTTCCTTCCCCACCTTTAGGATTGGGTACTATTAGTAAAATATTTTATTAAAAATTTCCATGATGGTTAAACAACTAGAAAAGGTTTTGATCTTATTCCATGTATTTTTCCTTTATTTCAAAGCAATTCCTATTTTTAAAACCCTTTCCTGGTTGTTTTTTCCACAAAATTAGCTTTATCGTCTCAGTCCGCCAGTTTTCAGTTCCTTGTATCACACAACGGTCAGGCCCTTTGAGAACATGCATCATGTTCAAGCTCTTAATGAATCTAGTTTCTTTTCCATGGTACAGAAATAGTGTGAGTATTCTCTTTGGGGTGGGAATCCTCTCTTAATTGTATGTGGGTAGAGAAGCTAGCAAAAGGAGCCAGTCACCAAGGGCCCTCGGCGCTAACTTAATATACAAGTATATGAATAAATAAATGTTAATTATGTTACAAAGAGAGATGACTGGAAATCTGGCTGGATTTCTCTCCTCCTCGGTCACCAAAAGCTGTAATGAAGGTTCTGGGCTGTGCTTACATCCCCTGTGACACCTGTGGTACCCTATTGCCTTCACAGATTAAAGCATCTGTCAGTGGTGCACAAAAAGGAGTATCCAGCAACACCCCTCTTTTTAGACGTGTTGGTGCTTTGCAGTGACCTGACGAGAGCACAGATGGATATCACACACAGTAAATGGGAAAGTTCCACATTGTGGTCACCTTTCAAAGTCTGAGATCAGGATTCAGGAGCATTGAATTCAAAATATGAGCTGCTCAGTTTGAAGCTGTGGGATTTTCTTTTCTGGCAGATATTTCATGGCCAGTCCACACCCTGCCCCCATCTTCCCTCCCCTGTCTCTTAAACGCATCTCTCCAGGGTCTCTTAACTCCTAAAATTGCCCTGAGTCAGATTTTCCATGCAACATGCTCTTTGCCAGCAGTGGACACACCAAATTGTGGAGTGCCAAGTAGTTGAAAGGGCTGTGTTAAATGGTCCCCAGCTCTTTCCTCTTCCTTTGTGTCATTGACAAACACCAGACTGTCCTTAAATGCATCACAAAACCCTGATTCAGTTCAGACTGAGTACATGATGCAGAACTCTTGTTCTAGGCGCAGTCCAATCTTATTACAGTAAAATCATTGTTTTCTCAGAACAGCTTTGCTACAAGTGAAGGGTTTCTCTAACTGGATTTATTTGGCATATCCCAGTGCGTTGGGATTTTCATTCTGCTTTTCTGTTAACATAGATTTGGATATGTGCAACCATTATATGGATTGCACTGCCACATGTCAGAGCAGTTCAGTGAGTTGGCTGGTAATATTTTTCCCTTGCTTGTGAGAATGGCACCTCGTTAAAACTTAATGAACATGTTCACACCTATAAAAGAAAGAGCAGGCTCTTTTTGTGAAAGGCTTGTTTGCAAGTCACCTGAAAAGCCTGTGCTTCTGGTGTGTGCTTGCATGTGTAATGAGACTCATAAAGCCTGTGATCAAGGGGACTTGTGTCCCCCAATTTTCCATACGTTTTCAAGGAAACTCCAAATTTGGCAAGGAGTTGTACAGTCTGTTGTTGTTGCTGCTGCTGCCACAGCATCTAAGGCCATGTCCAGATGAGCGTGGATGTTTGGTTCCCCTATGACGTGCGGTAGGTTACCTTGAGTGGGGTAGGGGAGGCTGGGGCTAGCAATTGTGCTGGTCCCAGCAGCCGTACCTTGGGTCCTGGTGGCTGGAGAAGGTGCAGCCATGTCACTCCTACAGCTTGGAGGCTGGCTGACAGCTGGAGTGTGGCTGTGGCTGGCCAGGCTCCAGTTTTGGGCAGCGCCCTGCTTTTTTTCTGCATGGGGTTTTTGGCTCCTGGATTTACAGGGTCAACCCCCACCCCCTTTTGCTTCAAGGTAGCAATGCAGGAAACACCTGGATGTGCAGATGGGTCTGTGATGCTACATACCTCATGGCTGTGCTCATCTGGATGCAGCCTAAGAGTCCCAGCCATAGACTAGGTCTCCAGTATGCTAGGCACTGTATGTAAACAGAATAATAATTGTGTGTCACAAAGAGCTGTGGGGCTAAGGGTAAGCCAAGAAATTACAGATGGCTAGAGAGGGGGAACAAGGAAACAATGAGACAGTGTTGGTCAGTATGGTAATCAGTGAAGCTAGTACACCACTAGTCTGTTTTCATGTTTTTCTACATGCATCCTTGTAAAGGACAGTTTTAAGGAGGGTTTTGAGGAAGGTTAATGAGAACCCTATGTAAAATGGGAGGAAATATAAAAGTGCTTGTTTGAAAAATTAGCCAGTGAGCAGAATCTAGTCTTATGGGCTAACCAGAGGTGGTACTCTCCAGTTTGTTACTGAATGGGAGATGATAAGCAGGTGTGGTTATATTGTGGAGAGCATGCAAAAGGAAAATATTTAACTTCAAATGACTCATTTTGAAATGGCAGATCTGGGAGTGCCAGTCAATTGTAGGATGTCCATGAATCATCAACGTGATGCAGCCATGAAAAAGGCAAATGTAATCCTACATTGCATACACACATGCAAATAGTCTGGGAGAACTCTCCCAGGTTTGCTGTCCTGCTAGAGGAACTTACCCAGAGCCACATGTACAGACATCCAAGTTGTGAGGCCCTAAAGAGCAGAGAGCGTGCAGTGCTGACACTGTAGCTGTGAGAAAGTTGGCCGGGGTGGGGAGGCGGGGTTCTGTGCACAAATCTCAGTGTGCTCTGCAGGCTCCCTTAGTCTGCCTGACAGCAGATAGTAGCAAATAACAGCATAGGGCAGCCCTGATAGGCTGATCCAAATTGCCTATGGGAAGTCTGTGTTTCCCTGCAGCACAATGTGGGCATTGTGAAGGAGGCACATTCTTCTCCCTGCTGGAGCAGTGACACACTATCTCCTGAGCAGGGGAGGTGGGTGCTGGAGGATTATGTGACTATGTTTCTTCTGAGAGAAGCCACATCATGTTCAGACATTGCCTCTCCTAGGAGAAACTTTCCTAGGAGTGATTTAACCCTGGTTGTTCCCAGGTTATTTTTCTCCTGGAGTGGCCATTCTTACTCTTTTTCCCAGGAGAAACTGAATGTCTATACAAAGCCCGCATGTATCAGGAGAAGTGTTTCCAGAGAGAGGGGAAGTATTAATGTTATCACCCAATATCCTGATAAGACCTTATCTGGAATATGCAATTTACTCGCCCAGGTTCAGAAAAGGTGAACTCGGAGTAGACCAAGCAGAGAAGGCCAGGGGCATAGAGAGCCAGTCTTCACCCAACAAAGTGACAGCTGAACAGGGATCTGATTACTATGCATGAAGATGTCAGGAGGGCGAGCACCAAGGAGTTAATGTAGAACTATGTATCTTAAAGGACAAGACTGAGACAAGAATAAGTGGGTAGAAACTGTCCATAAACACATTTAGGATGGAAATCAAGAGAGGGTTTCTAACTATCAGAGCAGTGAGGGTCTGGAATGGCCTTCTGGAAGAACCAGTGGGAGCAAAGAAAATTCAAATTACTTTTAAGATGGAGCTTGATCAGTTTTAGAGTTATGTGGTTTTCTCAGCTAGCCAGGAGACTGGGCTCAGTGAATCAGGAAATTCTTCCAGTCCCAGTTTCTAGTGTTTCTAGGGTGCAGACAGATGTGCAGCTCCCAGCTGTAACTCAGACCATGTTCTTCAAAGTGCTCCGAGTTACAGCATTACCCCGGACCAAACAGAAGTTCACTGTTGGTTCCAGGGGAGAGGGGAATCTAGCTGTGGGCAATGGCTTCAGCTCTCTGCCAGTGCTCACTGTTTTCAGAATGGGAGAGGAAGGAAAGGCAGCATAGGGAGGTTGTTTTGGGGGTTTCCCAGCTGGTGCTGAAGGGTGGGATAGGTGAATTGGACCCCCCCACCCTGGGGGGGGGGCCTCCCTTACACCTGTCCCACACTCCAGGGTGGAGGTTAAAACCCCCCCTGAATTAACTCCTTCCACTTCCTTTCGCCCCCTCCCATTATGAAAACAGCAAGAGGCTGGGAGCTCTGCAGACACAAGTTGCAGAAGATGATACATTTTAAAATTGTTTTTATCTGATACCTCATGCAATGAGGAGTCAGATTTTGGCCATTTTTGAAGCTGTCTGCAGCTGTGCACTTGTGTTTGGTCATAGCTAAAGACTGCTTTCTGTGGCCAGATTGGGTGAACGTTGTCACTTTTGTCAGCAGCCTATATTGATGCAATAATGCAGGGGACTATGGCCATGTTTTTTTAGGAGAAAGGAGGCATATTATAGGAGGTAGGAGAGAATGAGAGAGTGAGAAAAAAAAGTAGGCATGTCAAACAGGGTAAAATAATTTAAAACTGAAAGGGAAAAGTTTCTTTCCAGAGTAGCTAAGGGCTGAAGTTCTCACACAACCTACTAGTCATTTATCACCTGTGTTTCAAATGTAATGCTTGTTGCTTGCCAGTGAAAACTTTCCAAAATGTCCTTTTGGAAAACACTAATAGAATTAAATGAATCTGCTTTTATACACATTAAAGATTCAGTTTAGACCGTTGCTCCTACATGCCTGCAGATATTGCAGGGTATTAACATAATATTTTAAGAGGAAGGAAGTCTTTGCTCTGCCTTATCTATTATTCATCCACTTATCTGGAAGTCCTCAGTGGTCAGCACATACATTCTCATTTATTTTATTAGATTCTAAAGCTTAAATTTTAAAAGGCTTTAATCAGAAGTTGTCATAGAGAATCTGACTTTAATTCAAATGATGCGTCTTTTTCTTGGATTTGGATGTTCATATCATCATTGTCCAAATGCCTAAAAGGAGCATTCCTGTTTTTCTGCCTGTCATAGATGCTTCTTGGGCTCTTATTACTGCAGTAATTGAACCTCGCCATGTTTAATGCATTTAACCTAATACCATGCCTCTGAGGTAGGATGGTGCTATTGCTCCATCCTACAGATGGGAACCTGAGGCACTGAGAAAGTGACTTACATTGAATTACACATCATGTCTTTGGCACAGCAGGAAATCGAATACAGATTTCCAAAGTGCCAAATTAGTGCCCAAATCATTGGAACTTCCTTCCTCTCACTTAAAGAAGGCTGGTGGTGTGAGTCTCCAGATGAAGGATTTTGCATACTACCTGCTGCTGGAATCACTGACCTTGAGGCTGATTCTTCCTTTGCTTTCATTTATTTTACAGTGGTGCAACTCCGCTGTCTTCGGTGGAGTTGCTCAGGTTTTTAAGTTGGGATACGAATAAGGCTCCTGACTTCTCAACAATCTTCCGAACACAACTGGGGTTAAACAGCTTCACCTTATAGGTTACCTTCTGTCTCTTACCTATTTCAGGCCCTAGTGAATTGTTTAGGGTTCCCCTGCAGAGAGCACTGCTTGCGTTGTCTTATTTGATAGCTAATGCTTTTGAAGAATGACCGGAGTGAAACTGGGGCAAATGTGTTCTCTCCCTCTGTAGGTGGTTAGTTGTGAAGGACTCTTTCCTCCTGTACATGAAGCCAGATTCTGGAGCCATTGCTTTTGTCCTCCTGGTAGATAAAGAATTCAAAATTAAGATTGGTAAGAAAGAGACTGAAACTAAATATGGATTGCAGATTGACAACCTCTCTAGGTGAGATGTGTGAATGTTAAGACTGTTTTTCTAATTTTTAACTTTAAAACTTAGATTTGTTTGAGCAAAAGAGCCACTTTCCTTCTACCCAGGGGATGTTAGGAATTCACTCTTTTCGTAGCAAATGAGCAGAAGCCAGCTAGGGTCTTCCTTCAGGATCCTACTCCTTCATATCAGGTAGAGTCACCAGAGGAGCCTGGACACCCTGTTGTGGGGGGAGAAGACACTGGCTCAGGGGAGCAGATCCTCCGCTGATGAGAATGAAGTGAAGCTAGTGGAGCTCTGACCCTTTCCACCAGCTGAGTCTTTGCAGCACTGAGTTGGAAAACCACTATTTGGGAGTTCTTTTAAATGTTTTAATTCAATGTTTTTAAGTACAGCCACTGCCATACACTCCTTACAGAGTTCTCATGACTGGAGGGCATGGTGCATATTAACTTACACAGTGCTTTTTTATAGTAATTTGTTCCAGTAATTCCCCCCCACCGCCTTTCTGTTCTTTTATAATGCAAAAGGGAACATGTTGCTTTAAGCCACATACAGAATTACACAACAAAAGACATGCCAGTTAGAATAGAGTATAGGAGGGTTATGCTTTACTGTGACATGTTAGAACAGAAAATACATTTTTTGTATTAAAAGTCTAGCATTTGTGCTGCCAGGTTCTGCTCCAAGTTACACTGGTGCTCTTCCATTTAAATCGGAGGCATGCACCAGTACGAGGAGGGGGCTGATCTAGGATACACAGTATGTGCAATAAAGATCTATTATATTTACAGATTGTCAGTCATCACTGTATTTAGGAGCTGAAATGTTTTTTACAAAAGACAACATCCCATAGACTCCAGAGCTGGCTACTCTTCACATTTGATTAGATGTTATTGATCTTGAATTCATATATTATCATTTTCTAACGATGCTAACAAAATGTATGCAATGTATTCATTCATCCCATGCTTTGGTTATTTTCCAGATCATTGATTTTGAAGTGTAACAGCTATAGACATGCCCGATGGTGGGGACAGGGAATAGAGGAATTCATCCAGAAAAATGGCCAAAACTTTCTGAAAGATCACAGATTTGGGTCTTATGCAGCTGTGCGAGAGAAAACTTTGGCAAAGTGGTAAGCTTTAATAGAAACAGGCACTTGGCCTTATTGATCTATCATTGAAGCCTAAATAATATAGGTGTTTTAATTCACTGACAATAGATAGCGTTGATTTCTATAGAAGTATCAGAGCCTTTTTGCCTAATCTGCATAAATTTGCATTGTGGCCAGAATTTTTAGGAGTTTTGACCCACATCTCGGATATTGCTTTAAGAATAAAAATGATGTCTTGATGCACATGTAAGTCATATTTGTCTGATTCTAGATGAAGGATAGAAACTGCTCCTTAATTTAGAAGTTGCTGATACCACTTGTTACTTTGACTGTGGGTTTCAAGCAAAATGTTCAAATGCACATAAAAGCTTAGGCCCTGAGGGTGTAAGTGTTAGGCTCCTAAGTGAATTCAGTGCTGTTGAACACTTCAACCTTCAAACCTTCAAGCAGTTCGGCTGACTCGGGCATGTGCTGCTGCCTCCTGTCTTGCATGCTCACACGAAGTGGCATAGTCCCTGAAATAACAGAAGTAAACATTACACGCAGCATCAGTGGCTGCCTCTGTGCCAAAACCTTGTATGGCCCAAAATGAACAATTCAGTGTCATCTCTTTCAAAATTCAAAATGAGCTCAGACATTAAAAAAAAAATAAAACAGGATGAGAGAGACTTAGCTGCAGAACATTATTATATCATACTGGGTTCATGACAGTTGTAAGTGATGTCAAGCTTTCCTCATGTGTTGGCCTGGTGCGTGAACTTTAAAGCTGATTTTGCTTTGGGGAGAGAACTCAAAGAACTTTTTCACTTTCAGTTTAGAAGGTTGAGAGTTCTCCATCTGTGACTTCTCCAAATGCTGTGTTTGCTTTACAGGTATGTAAATGCAAAGTGGTACTTTGAAGATGTTGCTAATGCAATGGAGGCAGCTAAAGAAGAAATTTTCATCACAGATTGGTGGTTTGTATTTCTTTCTTTTGGCTTCTTACCAGGCATCTCTGTTAGAACGTGCAAGACAATGCCACAGTGTTCAAAGTTCCACAGTGTATGGAAGCTAGCTGTACAGCCAGATGGTTTGGCAGCACATCTAAGAGTCTCACAGGGAGGGTTTTCATTCAGAGGTCTTTTTAGAACACTTAGCCCCAAAGATGCATGCTTCAAATCATCAGTTTTGGTGTCTCCTAAGAAATAACCTTGAAGAACTGTATCATGCATTGAAGCACCACCTAGTTTGAAAGCAGTATGTATTGCACTGCCACAATGGAGCATACAAGTCCATACAGCAAGGGAGTATCATCTCAAAGGGGCAGGATATCTCCTAATGCATTGTCCATCCTGAAGGCATTGAACCATACAACTCACACCCTGCAAAGCCCACACCCTACCTTCTCCTCACCCTCATGGGGAACCAGATGCACCTGAGGGGAGTGATTCACAGAAGCATTTATGCTCAGCTCCTGTGGGGCCAGACAACGGAGGAACAAGTTCCTTATGTCCTCCCCCACACTGCTTGCGTGTCTAAGAGGTAGGTGAGATTCAGCACTAAGCTATTAATTGAGCAGGTATTGTTCTTTGCTCTGCCAAGCTTACTGCTGGAGCCCATGTTCTGGACTTGCCTAGTTCTCACAAAAGAGTTGCCTGACCTACCTCCAGATGCTATATCTTGCCATGGATTTAGTTTAAGCAGGATATAGTTTAAGCAGGAAAATAAGCAGGATGTGTCTGGCACCACAGACAAAATCAGGAAGGGTGTGTACAAAAGTGCTCCATGCACATTTTACAGTGCTATAATTTAGAGCATTTTTTATAGCACTATAAAGTTATAGCTCTCTTAAACATGACAGAAGTGCAGCATTTGGTTCGGGGACCTCTGAGGCTCCCTGCACTTTCCAGGCTAGGAGGCTGGGGCTTCTCCACTGGTCAGAAATTTGACCAGTGTACACCAGTTATTTAAAGTGCTGTAGACTGCTAACGTGCTGTAAAATACAGTGCTTTAAATTTAATACCTCATTTTACAAGGGTTAATGTAAAGCATTCTACCCAGTTTTAAGTGCTGTAAAGCCATGCACTTATATTAAATTACAGCAATAAAGTGCTTCTAGTGACAAAGAAGCTACTTCTGTACTCACCCAAAGTTTGCTTTTAAGTGTTGCATGACCTTGGGAAAGTTACTTAATGCCTCTGCATTTCATCTGTAAAATGGGCCCATTAGTATTCATCTACCTTTCAGGAGTAAGAGAGACTTAATTCAGGAATCTCTGTAAAGCTCTTGGAGGTTCTTTGGTGGAAAGACCTGTAGAAAAGCCAGGTATTACATCAACCCTCACTAAGATGAACCTGCACCCTAAAAGAATCATAAATAAACTGTTATTGCATGTGTAATATCAGATAATGATGTAGAGATATGATTTATCTCCTAGCTAAAAACTTTATATAAGGCAGCATTGAGTTCTCCATATGTCTTGGAATTGCAAAGCTTACACAAAAGTTATGAAAGCTCAAAAAGAAATCCCTCTATCATAAGTATGTTTTCAGGTTATAGTAGTTCGCTATAGTCAAACCCAAGTTATTAGGCTTGATACAGAAGAAAGTAGGTGATATATGGTTGCCTTGCTATATGGGCAATCAGACCGTGGATGACCTAATATCATCCATTCTGCCCTGTGAATCCATGATTGCTGCTTTTTGTGTAGCTAGCAAGCAACATTCAGCACAGGTCTTATAATCTTCAGATAGTTCAGGTGCCAAGTGAACCAAAATCCTTAGGGGTTGTCTTTTAATCTCCATATCACTTTCAGCAATATCAGTGGTACAATATTCTGTATTAGTACAAGAACTTACTGTTTCAAGTATGAAGTCCAAGCTTCTCCACTTTGTGTCATGGCTCAAGTTTGCCCCCCTGATGTTGCATGCAATGTCCCACTGGCTGCTCCATCCATGCTATGTATGGGGCATGTCACCTGCTTGGCACCTTTGTTAAAAATCAAAGAATAAGAGTGCATGGAAAAAAGGAATCATTCTGGGAGACTGGAATTCACTCCTCACCTCCTGCATAAACTCATTTAGTTTTTCTTTCATTATTGGAGTTGATTATTAGACCTGAAATATTGTTAACCCAGCACATGATGGGCTTTATTTTTCCTCTTAACTTTTTTAGGCTGAGCCCAGAAATCTTTATGAAACGACCTGTGGTAGAAGGAAATCGCTGGAGACTAGACTGCATTTTGAAGCGGAAAGCAGTAAGCGGACTGTGCCTTCTCTCTGGTTCTCATCCCCATTTTTCAAAGTAGAAGATAATTAGGGTGGAGCAGCAAGCCTCAACTTTTCCTCTTTTTCCTATTCCCCCAGCAACAGAGCAAAGCTGTAGGGTTGCGGGGCAAGGTGTGGGGAGCATAGGGCCTGCCATCAGGTTTGCAGAAGCAGCAGCAGCAAGAATGAGAAACTTGGAGCTCTGGGTTGGGGCCAGCAATCACCCACTGAGTGACCTTCAGCTCTTCACCTTATCCTGCCAGCACTTGCCAAGAGATGGGTTGTATTCCCTGCTTTCTTCAGCTGTCTCCGCCTCCAGCTGAGGCATTTCAGGAAGGCCAGCGGACAGAGCACTGATACCACTTTTCAGACTCCCAAACTAGAGCCCCATTTCTGAGACAGGAGCTGTTTCTTCTTTCCCATGAATGCTCTGTAGCTGGTTCTTCCTGTTCACCACCCCTGCTCCATCCTTAAAAACTGTTCATGATTTAGAGACATTGAACCATACTGCTCTCTAGTCACTGGAGTTACATATGGGCTGCCTTTGGCCAATGGTGCATACCATTTCCTGGGGGTAATGATATGGTGTCAGTGCCCTTCCATTCACATTATTGCCTTAAATTATGATACATGCAGCTACTTCCAAAACAGAGCATTATTAAATTGCTAATGGTGCTATCAATCTTCCAAGGAGATAAAGATCTCATTACCAGAATTATTCAGGAGTATCCATAAATTATTTCTAAGTCAGAGGGGTCCATTTATATTATTGGCATATGCTAAGCATGTTCTTTTTCTGGTTTGTACTTAAACATTTTAAATACACACACAAGGTCAGTGAGCAGCTGAGCATGGAATTTCCCCCCAAAAAGTGAGGAAGTGTTTGTCTACACAAGATTTTCTATTTTAGCATTTCCCAATCCAGCCCCACCTATGTCCTGCTCAGAGCAGTTTTAGATGGAAGCCCTTGACTGGCCCTTCGTTCCTCATTTATCCTATTTTATACCTAATTATGACTCTGCTTATGAGAAGATGTTAGCTGTGAGGAGGAGGAGCTCCTGACGTGCTGTTCCATACTGTGGAAAATTTGGGGAGGAGCAGGATGTTAAAGTAAGGTCATTAAAGTGAACAGCCTTTTTAAAAATAATTTGGTGATCTGTGCAGAACACCATCAAGTGAAAACTTGTTAATTTGATTTGGATGGGGATGTGTGACTTGCAGACAGTGTAGTAATCGGCATGACTCAGAGTCTTAACTGACTCAGAGGGGGCAAATGCTTGTGTCAAGGGCCACAATAAAATGCAGGTCTCTGGTAGTTCTGCATACAGGGGTGGATCCAGTAATGCACCTGCACCACACTTTTTGACTGGGAGCCTCTGGGGACAGTTTTTAAAGTCCTCAAATAGGCAAGACGCATCCCCTGTCCTCTTCCCACCTTCCCTACCTGCTGCTGCTGCTGCTTTCCCTGCTGTTGAGCAGGTGAGGAAACTTCAGAACTGCTCCTGCCCTCTCCAGCCAGGCTGCACAGTAGCTTGGCTCAGCTGGGGCAGCGGCAGACACGGTGGTGATGGGTTGGGACCAGGCAGGTCAAGGGAACCTACCCATCGCCACTGTCATGGTCCCAGCTGAGCCCAGCCCCTTCACAGCCCTGCTGGAGCGGGCAGGAACAGTTCTGGGAGAGCAGGGGAAGGGTAGGGGAGAGGACGTAGCCCTGAGCATGGAGGGGAGCAGAGGAGAGGATTTTTAGATGCTTTGAGGACTTTAAAATGTCCCCAGAGGTTCCCACAGCACAGGTGGTGGAGAGGAGGCTGGGAGCCAGGGTACAGCCCTCCCTGCAGACACAAAGTGACTGCTCTCGCTTCCCCTTTTGCTGAATCCTGGATCTTCCCCTGTTTGCTTAGTTAAGACTTTACTATTTGATTTCTCTCTCTCATTCTCATTCACACTCTATGTCTGTCTTTCCATCCCTGTCTCTCATTGTTTCCTTGCCTGAAGCATTTATATAACTGCTGCTGACGTGGCCTGTACTTTAGTGCAGTTTTGAAATGTTTTTGTCTCTGAAAAAGCTGGACAAAAAAAGGCAATGATTTCCCCTTCTTCTGGACTGTGTTTTCCACAGTTTTGCATTGCTTCAGCCAGTGAAAATACTGGTTTGTGGTTTTCTGCATTACAGGATGTTAGTAGTGACTCAGTGGAAAGGCATGGCCACTGAAAACTGCAGTATAGAGTGCAGTCATGTAGGAAACGGCTAGAAACCTTGGTGGAAGGCTTTGACACTCCATACGTCCAGAATAGCCCTTTCAGTAACTGTTGCCTTGCCCCATCCAAAAATACATAAAAAATATTTTTTTCTGAACAATTTATTAACAACCATTGTCTTGCTTTGTGGTAGATAAAGCATATTCACAAGGATTTGCCCACTGCAAGTGTTTATTCTTTGTTTACCATATCAACGCAGACTTTCCTGTGGCTGTAAATGCCAGCTATGAGCTAAGAATGGTTCATGGTACGTCCATGGAAATATTTGCCTGCTCTCTCATTTGGAGCCTATCGATAAATTGTTGGCTCAGTGGGCCCAGCATGCAGTCTTAGCAAAGCTATACTTTGATGTGCATACTTCGCTTCTCCAGACTCCCCTTGGCCAGCGTATTGGGGTGCACAAAATGGTCCACAGTTTGGAGATCGTTTACATGTTAGTAGAAGCTTTCTACAAATGGAAGTTTAATTAATCTTCAATTAAATGTAGAAGGGCAAGTATCTTTGTTTTTGAAATCACCATAAGTTTACTAAAGGCAGTGGGGCTATGCTGGTTTTCAGTAGCTGAGGGTCTCCCCATTATCTGTGACCAAACTCTGCCAAGGCTTGATCAACACTTAAGTTTTGCCAGAACACTGACATAGCTACTCCCTGAGAAACCCTATGATGGATGCCGTTATACTGACCAAAGGTCTTTTTGTTTCATTTGTTCTTTTGTTTCATTTAATTTTTGAGTCCAGGAACCGGTTTAAGATGTCCTCGCAAAGGAACCCCTTTTGTTGGTATTAGCTAAATAATGCCTCTACTAGGGGAGAGGCGTTTCTTCTTATCAGGGTAGCTGTAACCCTTTTACATGTAGATAGTCCCTAAAAGAAAAATACAACCCAGTGCAGCAGAGATGTTAGTAAACACGTGCAGTTCAGGTATTACTGGCTGTGAATCAGGTTACCAGAACTGGGCCTCAAAATGGCAAGTTAAATTCATGTATTGTAATATTTTTCCAACAGGACATGTTCTGAAACACATCTGCAATTTTTTTTCAAAGCTTTAAATGAATGCTATCAACCTGAAATCCAATCACGTAAATAGAAATCAGTTAAAAGTAGTTTTAAGTATTACTCCTTCCCTGGTTCCCCTCGCCAGTGTCTGGATTTGCAATTGCTTGCTGCCATTTTTTGGACCTCTCGCAGCATTGTATAGTGGCACCTCTCAATCCATCACAGCATCACACAGGGAAGTTCAGCTGGAAAACTATTGTGTTAGCGCAGAGAGGAGAGGGAAGGTCATATTTTCTGCTGTATTGGGCATGAAGAAGTTAAGGTTCTGTCTCACTATTTTCACTCAGATAATCCCTGCAAAAGAAAGGTATCATAGAGCAACTCCTCAAAGGTTTTCATTCATAATCCTACAAAATTAGGCAAGGGAAGTTAGCTTTCAGGCATTGTGGCCCAGAAGGCTGATAAAGAGATTAGCCAGCTACAGAGATAGTCTGCAATATATCAGTACAGAAAATCTCTCCAAACTGCACACAAGGAATCACGTTAGAGCCCAGTTCCATAAAGTGCCAGGTGCCTCCATCCATGTTAATGGGAGTTGAGGTATTTTAGCAAATTAGGTCTTTGGATCTGGAAGCTTCTAATCAGGAACCGACCTCCTGGATGTGCAATCTCAACCTGAGCTTTCCCTGCAAGAGCACCATGCTTACTCCACCTCACCCTACTCTTCAGCTGAAGCCAGAAGCCTAAGGATGTCCTTGCTGGAGGATAGGGATTTCCATTTAAACGGACATTTATCCTTTGTTTCCTGACAGCAACAAGGAGTGAAAATTTTTGTTATGCTCTACAAAGAGGTGGAACTTGCCCTAGGAATCAACAGTGAATATAGCAAGAGGACCCTGATGCGTTTGCATCCCAACATTAAGGTACAGTGTGGCACCTTTATGTACTGCCAGTGTATTAATTGCTCTTTATACCTAACACCACTCTTTGTATTTGGGGGACAGACAAATGAAACACACTAGTGAGAAATAGTGTCAACTGCCACTATGGGAAAATGATCTTTGAAGACATATGGCCCAATTCTGTTCCCCTGATTAGGCATTTTAGTCTATTTAGGTACCTGTGATTTTGTTCCACCTAGCTCAAGTCCCTGAAAAGCTGTTGATACGAAAGGTGAATAGGTCGTCCTCCTCTACCCTGCTTTTTGTGACTCAGTCTTCAGGGTAAGATAGTGGTTGTTACAAAAGTAGATGCGTGAATGGATTTTCAGGGATTTGAGCAGGGTGAGATAGAGCAGCATTTAGGCACCTAAGCCCATTTACATACCTAATGGGTGGAATTGAATCTAACCCATATTCTTTTCTGCTTCTGCTCACCAGTAGGGGAAACCAGTACCTGACTATGGCAACTGCAATGTCCTTAAGTACTGTATAAATACCTTTAGCTTATCCCTGTCAAGTTCTGTTGTTCAAACTATCCATCTAATTTTCACAAAGCTTGTTTTATCTGTCAATTTACATTAAATGGAAAATTCACAATCCAGGGAATTTTAAGCAATCCCAGTCATGTATTTGGCTGGAACATATTTTTAATTATAAAAGTGATTCATGATGAGAATACACTACCAGGTATTGGATTCCTCATCTTTTTGCAGTCCTGTTTGAAACTTGTTCTTTTTAAATAAATATATGTAGAGAAACTATTTCTCACATTCTTTCATTTTGGAAAACAAAAAATAAAATGAGATAATTCCCCTCTCACACTGATTTGCAAAAGCCATCAACAAGCTAATGTGTAACACACATCAACTCATTATCTTCTAGGTCTGGGCTCTACTTCCAAGTTGCACTGGGGTAATTGTTGTATGCTAATGAGCGGTATAAATAACTATGCTGATGAGGCACTGGTATAACTGTTTACTAAATTAGTTGTTATACTGGTTCCAGCCCTAGCATAGGTGCAACTATCCTGGTACAGAGGTAGCTTATCTCAGTAAAATCGCCTGCTTTCATATGTGGAAACTGGTATATTGGTAAAAAAATATACACACATGTCCCTGCAAGGAGGGTAGTATTTAACTGTACCAGCGGAGTTGAAGCATTACAACTTTCTAGTGGTGACAAATCCTAAAGAAAAGATCACTTCGTATTTAACTATTGGTGGGTGTGTTTGGTTGAAAAAAAGCCCTGTGGTCGTGGCCAACATTCACATTTGTCAAAACTGTTGAGGATCTAACACCTGGGTTTTATGATTTTTCTTTTTCCAGGTGATGAGGCATCCAGACCATGTGTCATCCTCAGTGTACCTGTGGGCCCATCATGAGAAACTTGTTATCATTGACCAGTCCGTAGCGTTTATTGGTGGCATAGACTTGGCCTATGGGAGGTGGGATGACGATGAGCACAGGCTGACTGATGTTGGCAGCGTTAAGCGAATTTCAGGAACAAAGTCCACGATGAATCTAGCAGTAAGAGTGAATGCTATATATATATATCTTGCTCTTAACATTTAATGAAGGGTACACTCTAGTCTTCACAGTCAGTATACACAAGAGGGTCTATAGTTGTATCCAACATGCAAGCTGGAAAAGGGCAAGTCATTTTAATCTCTAAGCCTAGAGTTCAGAGCTGTAGCTTGGTTGTGCACAGATTACTGGTTGCAGCGTACAAAACAAGGCCCTTTTTCAGAGTCGAATCCACCAGCCACCGAAAAAAGCATACCATAGAAGACCTCATGGGAAGCAGATCTTGGTGTTTTGCTGCTAGAGAGCATGGCATGGGAGGAAGTGGGGACAGGAATGGGGGGAGTGATGTAGAAAATGCAACAACTGAGCTAGTTTTTTAAGAGTTCAACTCTCATTTAGGCACCAAAATAAGTATATTGGGTATATTTTGAGTTAAACTGGAAATTCTAGCAAGAAGCATCACAGTAGGAGCTGCCAGATGCAGAGGACTTTGGGATACCTGGCCCTTATTAGTTGCCCGAAGAGATGAGATCTTTTGAAAACCTGGCTCTAGGGAACAGAATGAGATAAGATCTTTTCTTTTTATTAAAATGGGATTAGTGTGTGAGAGCCTCTGGACAACACGCATTAAGCCAGGATAGATTTATAGGCACTTCATGGAAGAATATACTGTTCTCATTTACAGTGTTTTCTGCTGAGTGAACACTCAGTGCTCATTAAGCCACTAAGCTGCAATACAGCTGTCTGCAATACAGTGTCTGCAGAGTTTGGGTGGAATTTAATCCTGTGAAAGATTAAATGGATACTCTTCCATGCTTCACTGTCATCCTTTTGTATCTTTAAGGCTGCAGCTGAATCTACTGAAGCTTTAGCCCTAAAACCTTACACTGATTCTCCGGGAGACCGGAAAAGTCTGGATGATGCCCTGGATTCCTCACGGCTGAAAGGAATAGGAAAAGCCAGGAAGTTTGCCAGATTCAGCATTTATAGGCAGCTCCATAAACATGGCATACATCACTCTGACAGTGTGAGCAGCATCGACAGCGAGTCAAGTAAGTAGTGCCTTGCCGTTTTGCCTGCAGAGCGTGTACTCGAGGAGGGCAGAGGAGCTCTGCTTACAGGAATGAAGGAAAGTCAGCAGGTTCCCAAACTGCTAGAACAGTAACTGGGGTTAGTGAATGGGTTAATTTGTACCATGGCATAATAAGCTAGAAATGCGTTGAAATGTTTTTTGCATTTGGCTAATTAATAGTGGCCACACATTAATTAGCCACTCTTCAACTCTTCAAGTTGGCTATGTGACAGCCCCAAACTACAAATGGAAAAAAATATGATATATCATGGTCTAGTGCATGTGATGTCTAATTTGCTGTGATGTACACCATGTAATGTGCTTGTATAGTTGTCTCCACTGAAGGGGGGCATTTGGCAGTGAGGGAAAGGGGAGGGGTTCATTAGAAAAAAATTCCTCTTGAAACAGAGGAACTTCCAAATTGTGTTTGTTCTAGGAAATGGGCAGCATTTTTTACACTATTTGTGGCACCATTATCCTTGCACTAGTTTTAAATGGGTTTAGCTCAGGTGAGTTTAGTAGAGGTATTCCTGATTTACACCTGTGTCGGAGAGAAGACAGTTGGGTCCAAATTTGAGTATTTCAAAGGCATTTATTTCTGTGCGTCAGATTTAACTTTAATCCTGAAGTTACGGGGCAGTTTCAGGCTCACTCAAAACCCAGAGTTCAAGTCTTCCATTACTACAGCTGTGGAAAATGATCCTTTCGGGTAGGAACTTACATTAGGGGAGGCATTTAGGTTCTGTTATTCCCAAACCTGATTTTAAAGCTTATTTTTGCCTTTGGCAGGAATGATGTGCAGGAGTATGTTTTGCATAAGGTCACAGCCAGCTCAGATGGTGCTTTTGCAGCAGCAATTTCTGCCTATCTTTGCTCTAAAATCAAATCAAGAATTTGTTCCCTGATCATTGTACCATTTCTAATTTTCTAATTTTCTGTTCACTGAGCTTGCAATTGATTGAACCGAAGTTATTTCAAGCTGCATGTTATTTTAAACACTCTTGGGTAACCAGAGTAGTTAAAGAATTGCTTTTTTGCTGTAAGTAGAGCATTTCAACTCTCTGCAGGTTATTGCAATCCTAGTAGGAGTCAACAGAATTTAATCCAGAGTTTAAAACCCCATCTGAAAATGTTTCATCACCACACTGAGTCCAGGCAAGGGCTTGCTGAGTCTGAGAAGGGTAAGTGAATTGGAGTTGTCTAGAAGCTGTAGCTGTTAATGTATTTGCTGTCCAGTCCTGGTGAGAGTTAGGTGGGGCCCTGAGATCATTATTCTACACGCTCAATTTTTATGTTGCTTTCTGTAAGGAGAACCTAGCAGAATTGCTTTCTGCAGAGACTGCTCTTTACGAGACTCTAGGAAGCTGGAGCACAAATAAGTAATAAGTAAATAAAGCACTGCTACACCATAATTTATTACTGTTTAGAGTTAAAAAACATGAAAATACCAGCTATAGTAGGTGCCCTTGAGAAGTTAATTTGGGTTTTAGGTGATGGCTATTCCAGCTTTGTACTCTTGATGCAAAGTACAGGGAATTTCACTGGAATTGATGATGCCTCTAAAATGGGACTGAATTTTTTGAAGTGTGTGTGATATCATTACAAGTTGGAAAAGAGGATGAATGTGATATTCATGGCTGCATGGCCATGTATTTAAATGGAGAGTTGGCCACTGTTGTTCTCAAATCAAGGTGCAGAGTTGAGAAAGGAGTGGAATGCATCGTCTGTATTGGTGTCCGTGGAATGGCAATAGCATATGCTGTTGAGAGGCCTGCTTTCTTCCAGGTAGGCAGGTAGGCAGAGAAGGGATTTGGCTTCTTTAAAAAAAGTGTGATGTTATGGTTGCTTTTTCTCATTCTGGAGTGGCAGTGAATAGATTGTGGCAGATGACAAAAGCGTGTCAGCCCCTGCATTGTTTGCGGGGGTGAAAGGACAGTTGTTTGGGAAAGGATTGATGGCTTAGGCATGTCCCCTAAGCCTAAGGAAGCATGTACAGGTACTCCTCACTTAACGTGGTCCCAGTTAATGTTGTTTTGTTATTACATTGCTGATCTATTAGAGAACATAGTCATTTAAAGTCATGCAATGTCCAGTTATAACGTTGTTTGGTCGCTGCCTGCTAGTAGGTAACTACTGTGACGTAATTGGAGTCGCTTAAAATCGTTTTGCTTGAAGTCACATTTTTCAAGAATGTAACTATGACATTAAGCGAGGAGTAGCTGTATAGGTTTTTAATCCAGAGAAGAAAGATTATTTGATGCTTTATTCCTTAGTCAGATGAAAGGTATTGGGCTCAGTTCAAAGTCTGTGTTGTGTAGGGGGTTAGACTAGGTGACCTAATGGGTCCCTTCTGATGGATAGAATTTTCCAAAGTACTCCGCACTGGCCTGAAGGTGATTCTGCTAAAGAAAGTGGGAGTTTCACCATTATTTTGTGTGAGAGCATAACTACACCAAGTGACAGCAGTTTTGATTTATTTGCACTATATTAATTCATTTGCTTTGTGAGATGAAACAGTTCCTTTGTAATAATAGCATTTAGGAAGTTAGTTGCAAATATCTGGGAGAGGCACGTACACCAGCTTTAGATCAGTGGTCCTCTTTTGACTTTGTTGGAACGATGACTACTGGTTCACATCGCCGTTAATGAGAAGACAAATAATCCCAAGGTCCCGAGTGACTCAAGTACCATAGCTTTGTTTTTTTAAGAAGAGATTTGTTTGGACAACCAGGACTTTTTTCTCAGTGGAGATCTTTGGACTTTGGAGATTGGTCCCCTTGCCTTAACCTGACAGAGCCCAAACGCAATGCCCAAGCCACAGCTTATCTGTTTTCCTGTGGTTTCTTTGAGCTGGCGGCTGACTGAAACTGACTGCCTCAGTTTCAGGAACTGGGAAGTGCCTAAAACCTGGCATGATATCTAGGTTCATCTTACAAATCCTAGAGATCACATCGTAGGTGATGTTCCTGAGGGTGGGAATTCAGGCAAAGAATTAACACTGCGCCACATTGTTCTTTTATGGCCACCTTCAGTACTCATTTAATGCATAAATAGTCAGCTGAAGATAAAATCTTAAAATCCTACACAAAGAGTCTGTTTTCATATGTGAATATGTTGCACTGCAGAATGTGACAGTGACCACTTTCATATTCATTCATGCGAGTCAATGTTGATCTCAGAAAGTTGGTTAATAAAACATGTTCTGACTCCATGGCATTCACATATCTGTTATTTGCCTACTCCATGATTTCCCGCTCCACCTGTCTCTCACTAGCAATTCATGCAGAACTGCCAGCTGGAAGCACCTTTGCTATGCCAGCTGGTCAGTTGTTATCATTTGTGCCAGCCTGTTGCATGGCATTTTGGCTTTGCCTGGCTTCATGTGGTGTTAAACAGCTGCCTGTTTATATATTGTTACGGTATTGTTGCTATTGTATATTTTGTTGGATAATCCTAAAAGATGCTATAATAAGTTGTCATGGGCTGCCTGGCTGCTTGGTCAGAAGAATAAAGACATTAGATTCAGTTCCTAAACCATGTTGCTGAACTACACAGAAGATCCTCCAGCTGGCATTGTCTCAGGGAGAGGAATCTCTCTGTCTTTTCCCAGCAACTGGATTAGGATGGTACTAAAACCTTCAAGGAAGCAGAATCTCTCAAACTCGGTGAGTGCAAAACAGATTAGTTGTGAGAAAATAAATGGGAACAGATGGGAGACTGCATAACCCAGATGGAGGAAAAAAATCATACAATTAGACATTGACTGAGTCCTTGAGACCAGTTGTAACTTTAACAACATTGAACAATCCCTATGGCATGACCCTGGGCAGGTCATATGAAAATAAAATAACACATATGGGACACAAATGGATAAAGAGCATCAGAACTTTGCTTCAGAATAGATGATAAACACAGAGCACTGGACTCACAAAGAAACTTTTCTTATAGACATGTTTTTGCATACTGTAATCGTTGCACCATTTTTGATAGGGCTTTTGTCAGAGGCAGGAAAGCAAGAGTTAGACTCTGGTTTGATCCCATGTGACATTTCCTGTTTTCTGAGAGGGGAAGGAAAAGAGTTCACTCTACTCCCGATCTATATGCCCATATGCACTAGAAAAGAGGTGCTAAGGAGCAGGGGCAATTTTTGCTTCTAAGTCATTGCAAAGATGCTAAGATTTTAGTGTTCGCCATGTAACTGAAATTCAACATACATGTGCACAACATAGAGGGCCATTTGAGAAACTGAAATCGTTACATAAAGACTCATTGAAAAAAAAAAGAAAGTACAATTTGTTGCTGGTTCGGTTACACAGCTACTCATTATGGAGCCAGTTATTCTGATGTGGAGTCAAAATCATGAATCCTAGAAAATGGAAGTTGATACTAGGATTTATTTGTACTGTAGTGGATAGTCATTATATAGTCAGAACGTAGTCCTATACACGGATATAGGCATGCCTTCCTCAGCGGTTATATATTGATAGATGTAGTCTTCCTTTCATAATATCGGGGAGGTGTAAATAATTAAAGTGTAAATTTTAAATACAGTTTGCAGAGGATTTAACCTCTAGTTTCAATTAGCAGCAAGATTTGTACTTGATTTTGTATCACAGGTGTTAACAGAAGACTGGAAACAATCAACTTTTCTTTCCTTTGAACCAACATCAAGACTTAACTAGAAAACAGTTTTAGCAAGTTATGCCAGTGCTTTCCTACTGAAGTGTGTGTCTCATCTGTGATGCATTGAGGGCATCTAAATAGCATGTCTTTTATATTGTGACAGATAAAGGATCGATCCGCAGCTTGAAGACTGGTGTTGGAGAGCTCTTTGGGGAAACCAGATTCTGGCATGGAAAGGACTATTGCAACTTTGTTTTTAAAGACTGGGTTCAGCTTGACAAGCCATTTGCTGGTAAGTACCGTTGCAATCTGCAAGCAGCTCTTTTGTTTCTGGGACTCCCCTGTCTTCTTCCATAAGCCTCTACTACCTAAGAAGTCCCTTTGACTTTATCCTTCTGAATTGAGACCATCTGATCTGTCAGCTGCAAAAGGCAGCAGAATTCCTAAGTGAGAACCAGATATCCTATTGCTATAATGGCTAAATGAACTTGAATCCAGCCCCCATGAGCTGAACGCCTCAGTTTTAACTCCGAATGTCCTAGCTTTTATTTCATGGAAGGGTTAAGTTTGAAGAGACCATGATATTCTTCATGCCTGGTATTTCCCTGGGGTGAAGTATAACCATATTTTTCTCTCTGTGCAGATTTCATTGACAGACATACCACACCAAGAATGCCATGGCATGACATTGCCTCTGTGGTACATGGCAAAGCAGCACGGGATATCGCTCGACACTTTATTCAGCGCTGGAACTTTGCAAAGGTAGGTTTGACAGTGGTCCTCCTGTGAAGCAGCAATCAGGGACAGGGAGGGGATCAGTAAATATACCCAGAGAAGATCAGGGGAATCAGACCAGTGGAGATGGAGTAAACAGGGAAAAGTAGCTGTGACCTGGATCCCCAAGGCCGAGGGCCAGGAAATTCTGTCAGTGAAGAGCCTGTTGGATCCAGTAAAGATCTAGTCATTAGAGGAATGCTGAGCTGTGAAGGTCCCATCATTGGCAGTCCAACGGCTAGTCCACACCACTCGGGGGTCCGATCACCACTGACACAGGTTTTTGGTCCTCACCACTGGAGAGTGAAGGCTTCATTAACCTTGTTAATGAAGATGCTCAAGGATGATACAGGAGCCTGGGGCCAACAGACAGCTTGTTTCTCTCCAAGGCAAAGGCACAGAAGAGTACAGATTTCATGGGTATCTTCAAGACTGTTCAAAGTCAGAATGAAGACTTTTGGTATACACTGAGATTCTCACACGATTCTTAAAGAAGTTTTCCACACAATTTTCTGTATTATGAAAAGGATGTGAATACAATAAAAGTATCTAATGTAAAACTCTGAAGAAAAGCAGGTTCTAAAATATTGTTTTATTTGTGTGTGTTTTTTCTTGTAAAGATCATGAAGCCCAAATACAGATCCCTCTCCTACCCATTCCTGTTGCCAAAATCTCAGCAAACTGCCAACGAGTTGAAGTATCAAGTGCCTGAGTCTGTTTTGGCCACTGTCCAGGTGGGTTTAAATGGCATTTTATTGTATGCTTCTAAAATATGGACCTCCTTGGTCATGAGCTCATTTTTAAACCATGGCAATATGAAGTATTGGTCAACTGAAACTTAATTGAGCTTAAAAAGATTTAGTGCACAAACTAGTTTTTATTTTAAAACACGTCATAGCACACCTCACCTTGACCTGGTATAGACCAGTATAGTCACGTTATTACCAACAGAGGGATGCTGATTTACATCAGTTGAGGTTCTGGTCCATTGTTTGCAAGATTAATAGTACTGACAGTTGTACTTTAAAATCCATTAGTTGTACCAAACACTTACATTAAGTGGCACCATTCAACAGAATTAAAATGGACTTGTGAGGAATGCAGGTATTGGCAACAAAGGACCAACTCTTGGGATCATCATAAATTCTAATTTATTGGACGGGATGTGAAGTTACCAATTAACTTATAAATTCAGACTTTGAGTTATGAGTGTTACTAGTCACCGTAGCGCGCGCGCGCACACACACATGCACTCACTTATTCAAACCCATGTCATATAAACCTACATAGTGTAGCGTATAGTAGCTGCTGTAGTGATTGTGAGAGCACTGGTGTCAGTATATCTACCTACCTGAGGCCCTGGTATCTGCTGTCAGTGATCAGCTTCCTTCAAGGCGATGTCTTCTCCAGAAGCGGGTCGCCTGCTTGTCCTTCTGTCTTGGTAGGTCAGATGCTGGATGAGAGGGAGCCACTGAGGGTCACGCTTCACTGCCTTTTATATCTTTCTGGCAGACTTGTGTGATCCCCCAGCAACTTCTTGGCTGCCCAATCCGGGGATTGGTGTCCTGGTGGGTTTTGAGTAGTACATGACAGCTGTTAGTCACAGGGGTCTCTGCCTGCTTGTACCTGAAGCAGGAGTCCACCCTTGACTTATTGATTTAATGGCTGTATCGTTATGGGATACTGAAATAGTCAATGGGGTGGGTGCTCAGTTCCAGGAATCAGTTCCTTGGCTTGATTAGCCTAAATTGGCTTGTAGAGTTGAGTTTTGTAATGCTAAGTTTCTCTGGTTAGGTTATTGTCAATTAACAGCCAGAGGCTCTTGCTTTGTCTTCAGTTATCTACTGAATCATCATACATTCGCATTCACTCAAGGGACTGCCCAATATAGCAGATTTTATCACTTCACAATTACAATTTCAATGCAGTTTTTAACAATGATCCAGGGTTTAACTTGATTCTACAGGGAATACATTCCTTAAGAATTTAAAAGTATAAAATATAAAATACAAACTGCCATGGTAAAAATGAGACAGATGAAATATAAAAATGCACTGTGAGAAATGTATAAAAATGCAGTGTGAGGTAGTGAGGATCAAAGGCTACTGGGGACAGTAAGTGAGTTAGGTTAGTACCAGGATGTATTTAGTCTTTGAAGTGGATATTTTAGTTCTTTTGTTTTCTTTAGTGACACTAAGCTTAATTGATATGTAAATGTAGTTTGTAGGTTTCTCCTACAGAAAGCTACTTCAGCTTTCTGGCTCGCTCTGAGCGTTGCCACACCCATGCAATGAGTGTGCTAGGTCTCTGCCAATACTTAGAAGGAAAAAGAAATGCACAAAATGGGGGGCGCAGGCAAGAAGGGGCTTCTGTTTTATCAGAGTCCAGAAGGGAAATGTACAAAGGGGGCTTTCTGCTACACAGGCTGGGAAACAGCTGTGTCTAAGGGGTATGTGTGTGTACATAAAAGGTATTCTGCTTGCACCAGGCAGAGATGTCTACTTTGAACACTACAGTATTTCAGTTCATGCCATGTCTGTGACTGATGAAATTCTAATGTTTTGACCCAGCCTGAAAAACCTCATGGATTCCACAAGTCCTTCTCTAGATAATGAGAATTAATAAGGAAACAGAACAAATATTTGTATAACTTATGTGACTAATCAGTAATCACAGCAGAGCTTGAATAGAGATGGTTAACTATCAGATACACTAAACTGTTCTTCATTGTTTAATACAGTAAAAACTAAGCTCACAAAGAAGTTGGCTGGGAAATGCAAGTAATCAATACATGTCAGGACACTTTGATCTGTTCTCAGACATTCCATTAGCAAGACCAAGTTCATTTTGTAGACCATGAATTGTAAATTTCCCTTGCTTATCTCTAATTGATATGCTATTGCAGCCGTTTGAGAGCAGGCAGCGTGGCTCATCCCTGAGCCACATATGGCTGGAGCAATTAAAACAAATTGTTTTGCTGAAAACATGCCTTTGCTCTTTAATATTCCTGCAGTTCATAGCCTTTCTGATGTGGCTGCAGGTAGCAAGTCATGTCTATAGTGTTGTGTGTGGTAGAAGCAGGCAGCAGGCATGAGAGCCTCTGAACCAGTTTTTACTAGATGACCATCTCTCTTTCTAAAGTATGTCTTGGCATGCGCAAACCTTAATTTTGGCAGCCTCCTCTGTAAAGTTCTTGCTGTCCTGATTTTGTTTTTATTCGTTTGTTTAAGTAGGAGTGCACACAATGTCAAGCCAGGTTACTAGGAAACCATATGAGGAGCCTCAACTATGGGGAGCTCTGGCTAGCAGTGAAAGTGCAGCCTCCTTATCAGTCAGAAAAGATATTTTGAATGCTTTTATAGAGAAAGATTAATGACTGACTTAATATTTCCCACTGATGAAGGGATGGGTTTTGTATTCTGAAGGCAGAGTTAGGTTTGAAAAGGAATACAGGGAATGACACACTGGGGTCCTGGCTGTCTTTGCTAGGCTTCTTCCCTGGGCTCTCAAAGAATGCTACCCATCTGCAGAGTTCAGGCCTCAGGCACATCTTTGCTTAGTTTTTAACATTATGGTTCTAGTTGTAGGTTTATCTTCATATTCTACTATTCTTGAATGCTCCTACTGAAAGCCAGGCTACTTGGGGTGCTTGCAGTGTAGGTCTCTGCTGATTCTCATACAATAAAGCCCTTTTGGACGTCTCTAGCCATTATGAAGGGAACTTGCAGTGAGTTTGGTTGTAATCTAGGTGCCGTTACACTACCAGAATGATTCAAAATGGCTTTATAAGTGTAAATAAGAATGAAAAAAAAATCAGAATCCAGCCTTCAGTCTCTGGTGATATACACATTGATGATCTGCTGTGATTTTAGTATTAAAAGTGGATTTGTAAGGATGCAAATGTGTTTCCAAAAATAGATTCCTATGCTGTTTCTCCCCTACCCTCAAGAATTAGATCTGCTAAGTAACTTCCTTTCTAAGGAATACAAGGTCCCCTCAAGCTGTTTCTCTCTGTTTGTGAGGCAGGTGAGTCTTTTGTTCAGCCTACTTTTTCTTTCTTTTCAACTTCCCAATGCAAGACACCCCCCCAGTAATGTAACCTTCTTTCTTGTCTGTCATAGGAGTGTAACAGTGGTCAGGATGTAGTCTTCTCATTTACTTTTGCAGGTTGCCCTCCAGTGGTGGTACAAGAAATACAAAGCATCTCTCTTTAAAAAGTTCTTCTACTCATAAAAAAAGGAGGGGTGTTTTAAATTATTTATTGATTTATTATTATTATTATTATTATTATTATTATTATTATTATATTTTTAGTTTAGTTTAGATTAGTTTTTTTAGTAAGCATTTCCTTAGTTAAGGTGGGTCAGACCCAGAAACGTCGGTTATCTTTGTTATTTGCTATTGTTGAAGTAGAACTAAAAGTAGGGAAGACACTACAGACAAACAGAGAAATAAATTCCCTGCCTCGCTGAGATTAAAATATAATGGGCAGATTTAGTGCAAGCCACTGGCTGTTGGGCGCTGTTGAAAATCTGCTCGTGTGTTTTAACCAACTCTACAGAATTTTGAGCAATTTTGAAAATCCAGGCTCTTGCGTGTGTGCTGAACACCTCTGAAAATCTGATTTTGAACAGATGAAGAAAGACAATTGAGCATTAAGGGTGCCTATACACGAGCAGCAAGGCGATGTGTTGTAATTGCAGCAGAGCAGACTCGGTTAATTGGATCTCATGTGTCAGTGCCAACATCTTGTGTGTCAGTGTCCCTGCACTTAAAAATGGTGACGGGGGCACTTTATCTGAAGCTTGTTCGATGAGCTTTATATAAAGTGCTGCGAGCCACCATTTTTAAGCGTGGGGAGATGATATGTGAGACGTTCTGGGCACTTTAATTAAATCAGCTCTCGGAACCACTCTAATTAAAGGTCTCCCCTCCCCCACTCCCAGAGCATGTGTATAAATGCCCTAAGATGCTATTTTTGTAGGCTATGGTCTGATCGTACCATTGCTTTGTTCTTGCTTGAGGAGAGGACTCAAACCTTTGTGAAAGATGTGTTTAAAAAGGGATTGGATAAAAGAAGAGGGAAAGCATGGCAGAGCAGATCTTGTTGAAGTGTGGACCATATCATGGAGTGGTCTGTATTACTCCTAGAGAAGGCAGGTGGCGTGGAAGAAGGAGACTGGGGTTAGGGCAGGGTAGAAAGGGGATTTAGTCAATTGTTGTTCTCTTTCTCTCTTGCCTCCCCCCCTCCACCTCTCAGCTTTGGCTTTTTGCTAAAATAGCCAGGCAATAACACTTAGATTTCAGAAAAGCCAAACAATGTTTGAATGAACCCAAACCACCCTCAAATTTCCCACCTCTAATTTTCAGTTATGATCCAAAGCAGGCACAGAAAGGGCGTGACAACGTCATACCCATCTCTCTAGCGAAAATTTTATGCCTCTCCAATGGCCTAAGGTCTTCCTTCCCCCTTTGAAGTCTGCACCACAGCTTGTGTTGTTTGCAGTTCTGCAAGAGCCCGCAGCAAACATGTGTTTACTGTTGTTTGGATGAAAAGAGCTGAAAGGATGACAGGCTTTGCGAAAAACATTGAACTGGTGGTGGGAGGCTGCAGAGCTGAGTCAAAAGCAAGGAGAGGTGACATAAACAGTCCTTGTTGGTATAATTAATATTGTGCCTAACTAGCTTGCAGGCATTTTCTCTGAAATTTGAAGATTTGGGCTTTAAATTTATAAATTTTAACTGTATTGACAAGAGGACAACTTGGCAGGGGCTGTAGGTAACACACTATTGGTCAATATTGATTTTTAAAAGTTCATAGTACATGCATATGCTTCACTTGAGGTTTTACTGTGCTGCTGAGAAGTTCACGGACTAAGTTGGGCTGCAGCTCATACTCGCCTGTCTTGGGGTGCACCATGTTTTGCTGTTAATAGGATAGTACCTGTGACACCCAGTTGAGAAGTTCTTATTCTACCCAGTAGAGGACCGTGGCGTGCAGACACGCACATGCACACCAACAAGAAACTTGATTTGCTACAAAATACAAATGTTACTGTGATGATAATTTGACTGGTCCAGTACAAGGGGCACTAGCCTTAGCCTTGGTTAATTTGGACTAGGGGCGGGCAATTATTTTGGCTGCAGGGCTGCTTAATGAGTTTTGGTGAGTTGTCAAGGGCTGCAAGGGTAGCCCCACCCCTTGACAGGTGCCCTGCCCCCTGGTCACCATCTTGGGACCAGAAATATCGTCCCCTAACCCCCGACCTTTGCTACCAGAAGTACTCCTTTTGGGAGGGGGGAGGTTGCCATCTGAACCAGAAAAAAAAACCCAAATCATATACTAAAAGTTAAACATCTATTATAACGTATTTTAATTTTATTACAAAAAATATTTTTGTTGTGATTTGTGTTTGTGTAGTATATATAGAGGTGACTACGTACTAGGTGAAAAATAAAGTCTTACTCTTGTATTGAGTCTGTGTGGGGTGTGGTTGCAGGTGGGGGTGTGTGTTGTTTGTGGAGGGGTGTAAAGTATGTTGTGGGATGTGTGTATATGTGGGGGCAGGGTGTGGGTGTGTGTGTTTGTGGGGTGTGAGGGAGAAGAACACTGTAGAAGTCTGGTCCAGTGAGTGGGGCACTAGCCTCAGCCTTGGTTAATCTAAAGCAGTGGTCACTGTGGATCCCAGAGCTTCTTGAAGTTGATCCTGGGCTGGAGGGGCTGAGCATGTGTGTGCATGTGATCATGCCCCCCAGCCCAGCAGGTCAGTTGGTGGGGGAGGGAAGGGCAAAGGCCCAGGGGACACGTGCAGTGTGGCTTAGGGTGCACAGCCCAGCCCACAGCAGCAGCCGCCTCTGCTGCACACATATTGGGGGGGGGGATGTGCCCCCCCCAAACGTGGGGCTGCGCCAGTGGCTGCAGGTAGGGAGTGGGGGCAGGCCCTGCACAGCTGGGATGGGGTGGGGATGGAGCTGCGAGTGGCTCATCCAGGGGGTGTGGGGAGGTGGGAAATACAGCCTGGGAGGGCAAGGTGGGGTGTGTGCCCCTGGATCTGCATGCGGGGCAGGGGCAGAGCAGCACTGGGCTTTCCCCAGCCGGGCTGCGCTCAGGCCGGGCAGTTGCAGCGGCAGTGCTGGGAGTGGGGCTACAGGGTGGGGCCATAGCCCCCACAACCCTCGCTCCCAGTGGCACTGCCGAGCACAGCATGGGCCAGGCCTGGTGTAAACAGCCCGGCGCAGCCTTCCCCTCCCCCTGAGGACATGGGGCCCAGGGGCTGGTGGACGCAGGGGAGGATGGGCTGCAGCTGGAGGCTGGAAGGCGGCGCTGGGCTGGTCCCACTGGGCATGATCTTTGGTTCCTCTTAAATTCCAAAAGTGATCTCTGACGTAAAAAGGTTGGAGACCGCTGATCTAGGGGCTAGACTCTAGACTCAAGACCCTTCATGACTTCCAGTGTTATGTCAGGCAAATCACTAAGCTAGATTTTTATAGCTATTGTGGGCACTTAAAAATTTACATAGAAGCCCACCTTTGAAAATCTGGTTGGTAATCCTCAGTTTCACATCTGCAAAATGGGTTCTTTCCTTCACTGTGGAAAGGAAAGACATATAAATACCTCAGATGGTTGGATGTGTGATATACCCTGAAATTTCTTTCTCAAAACTGTCCACAAATTGTTGTGTGAGCCTGCCAGAACCACACTGACTGATTGCAGTGGGAAGCAGAGCTTTCCAGCTTGGTTTAGTTAATAGCTTCTGCCTCTGACTACAAGGAGGAACGGTGGGAAAAGAATTCTTGTAACAACAATGCTGTGACCTGTCAAGCTTTTAGACTGCTGATATAGTGAGAGAATAAAAAGGAGTTGGAAGTGAAAGGGGCATAAGGACTTCGGCTAGTTGTGAAGATTTGAATTGAAAGCGATCAGTCCTCTTCTGATCTTTATCGTCTGACAGTTCTCTTGTCAGATGATTTTTCCAGCCAGGCATCACTTTATCTCTGAGTGGTAAAATGGTTCTTCAGCTTGAGAGGGGTTTATGAGCTATCGGGCATAAAATAAAAAAAGAATTGATTTATTTCCTGTGCCCATCAGAGCCGACACTACTGCTGCTAATGGAGAATTTCTGAGCTGCTGAAATCAGTCTCTCAATCCCACCACTGAGCAGCTTACTTGGGATGTAGAAATTATTTTTAAGGGCATGGGCTAAGTACTTAAATATCTGTGGTCCCAATGCTATGAAACCACGGTCTGGAGGGGGCGTGTGGGAGCTGTGTATTGAAAAAATTGTTTTTTAAGAGTTTTATTTCCCAGGTAGGGTTGAATTTTGGGGCCCACTGCCACAAGTCTCCCTGTTTATATCCTGTAATCTGAGGCAAATTTCTGGACAGTGGCTTTACTGGGGTTGCGGGGAGGGAGGATGAGGTAGCTGGTGGGGAAAATTGCATCCCCCTGGTTGGAGCCAGCTACACCAACAGACGCTGCACAGGCAGCTGAGTTCTTGAGTTTCACCGCTGCAGGGCATGGAGCTTGCAGCTAGCAGGAGGAAGTAGAGAAGGGAGCAAGGAACTGTGCTGCCCGCTGGGGACCGGTCCTCTGGAGAAGAATTATAGCAACAGAGGCAGTCCGGGCAACAAGAATATTTCCCCACTCCCACAAATGCAGCAGTCCCTGGTCCAAATGTCATTATAAGATACTCCCAAGAGTCTGGGCAGGGTAGGGTTTGATCTGAAAATGAAAGGTTTTATCCCCACATATAATTTATAAAAATGTTCCTTAGCATAAATGAAGGTATGGCCTAAGTTTCCTGAAAAACTAACTCTAAGACCCAGAGTGTGAGTTTAAAGCCACCATTACTATAGTTAAAATGGGTTGTAGCATTAGAAAGGTCACTTCCCCCTGCTGGAAAACATCAGAGGCCAAGAAGTCCATTTATTCTAGGTCCAGCTTCTCTTTCACCTGACAGTTGTATTCTGCATAATTACAATTTTCCTATGAATACTAGTTATGGTTATATTAACACTAGTATACT